AGTTATCATTCTATGACAACTCTCACAGTTTGTACCTAATGAAAAAGAGAAGTTGAGAGAGAGATTAGCCTCTGTGATTTCATGATCTTTGAGTCACAAATGTCCTGTATCACCTCGAATCTATTTTTTCATTTTCCTTGCCTTGCCCTTCATGCCAACAAGGCCTTCTCTTAAAATCAACAGGTTTAGCAATATTATAGTCCTATCAGTCTGTTCTCATCTTAACCAGCCAAGATCTGCTGTTTCTTCTGACTGATTGAAAGCTGGTGCTGATTAAGAACCACCACAAAAAATTGCTATACCCATCTAGGAAAAATAACCACCACTTTCTTTATAAACATTTACATAGAAACGTCATTTACATGAAGTATTCTTAAACATACTTGAATGTCTCCCCTGGATTCCACAACTTTAATCCTGAGTCAGAGTTTTATAGAATAAAATCCTATCGAAGTTACTATTCAGTCAGTCCAGATTTATGCTGTTAGTCGGTAATGCTTTTGCTGCAATGTATACTTTACCTCAAAATATACTGAGCAAATATTTGATTTGGTTACTCTATGTAAATACTGCTTATCTTTAGGTATGTCCACTAACTTAGGGACATATTAACTTCATGATTGTTTTTACTGAAATGGTCAACTTGAAATGGCTGAAATATGTCTGCTAAGTAGCTGGAAATATTTTGCATATTTCCTTTTAAAAACTGAACATTAAAATACAGCGACATCTCATATATCAGGGTATTAGTCTTCTGCCAACTTTCAGATTTCAAGAACAGTGCTCAGATCCCAATAGTGACCCTGAAAAGCTTCTTAGTATCACAAGACTTCTGCTTGAATCCACATACCTTATCCCTATCTTAGGTTTTAATGATTTTTCAATAACAAGCAAAACAAAGAAAGACACAAACTTTCTCACCAGAAGATTCAAAGTAAACTGGAAGATGAATTTTAGAGAGAGGCAGTGACAAAATTAGTTAAATATCACAGCATGAAATTGGAGAAAGAAAAAAAAAAACCAACATAATCTATATGCAGAAAGAATACCAGGATGCTAATTGAGATGACCCTGGGACATCAGGAAATTATTAACTTATATTTAGTGATTTCTGATTGAGCACGTAGGAAAACACAATATGCTTAACTTCTATCCAAAATATTTTAAACTAAAAACAATTGCTTTGGTGTTTCAAGGAGTAAGCCCTGGAGTTCAATGGTATTAATGGTAATTACTTCTCAAAAGTTTATATGCATAGAAACCACCTTGGGATCTTGTGAGAACATGGATTCTTGTTAAGCAGACCTGGGGGTGTGGGCAATATTCTACATTTCTAATAAGCTCCCAGTTAATGCTGATAGTTTTTCTGGCAAGAGTGAAGAATGCATTAATTTCCAATAATGTCAGATAAATGAGATGTTACTGTATTCGATCTCAAATACTTTTTGAAATTTGAAATTAAAACATACTACTCATGTAAGTTACATACAATTTGTTCACTTTGGAAATAAGGAAATAGCATTATAATAAACAAGTTTTAAAATATGAACTGTGTAGGAGGGAAATAGTAACACATTATTCAATCTTTCAACCATACAATAAGCGTGCATGAGAGAATTTTATTGAAATCTGAACTTGGTCAATACTGTGCAAAATTTGAGGTGAGCTACATCTATAAAATACTAAGCCATAATAAATTCTGAATTCTTTTAAATTATATTGCTTCATCCTTTTTATATCTGGAGAGAATGCAACACATAAGGTAAGTTTGGGGGATTTTTTTCTGAAAGGATATTTTGTTTTCATTTCTGTTAATGGTGAAACACTGTGCTTTGTTCAATGGTGAAAAATCAAGACTGTGTTCTTTGATTAAAAAAATGGATGGACCCAGGCGATCATTTTCTGGTCTGCATTTTGTGCACATAAATATGTGCATTAAATATTTTATGAATAAACTGGAGCTGGGAAAGGTGAAATACTATAATATGTTTGAAGCTATGAATTTACAGCCTTTATTGGCATTTCACATATTATATAAATTCTTGACCCTGCCAAATTCCTTTATACTGAGTTAATAAAATATTCATGTTCGGTGGCATTAATGTGAGACTTCTCTGATCTTACTATACCTTCCATACTGAAATTGTGGCTCTAGATGCATTACTGCCTATTTGACCCTTTCTTGCCTCAGGAAGCTTTTGCTCTGATGCTCCAAATAATTATTTAACTTCAAATGGCTACACTAAATTGCCTATTATGATTGGTATGGTTAGAGTGCTTACAGAGTGTGGGGCGCACACCAGGGAAAATTGTAAATGATATTTACAAGACTTCAAGTACATATGAAAAATTATAAGACTTCATATACATATGAAAAATTTGAAAAACTTTCTATTGGACAATAAGGAAAATAGGCCCATGATTCTACATAATTTACAGAAGATCCCCACATTAACTATCACTTTGTAATTCAGTCTTTCATTTAAAAAATCAGGATGGTATAGACAGCAACTGTATAAAACCGTTACCTGTAAAATCCTCTAATATAAATTTTTTATGAAGAGTAAAATTACATGCACCAAAACAAGTTCTGTGAAGCTAGAGATGAAAAGTCATCTATGTTAATCAACAAAATATAAACGATTATAAATGATTATTTAGTAAATTATTTCTTTATTAAAATGAAAAACATTTCAAGGCCCCCAAAAACAGCCAAATGTTTAAATGATGTTATATAGTGAATTGAGAGTCTGTCCAAAAACATATTTGGGAAGAACAATTAGTTGATACAAATGTGAGTGTAAATCTGTCTCTTTTTAAACTTTAAAGCCTACTGTTCAAAGATTTAGCTTGTGTGCATGATATAAATCGCATACATTGTTTTCTCAGTGACAATAAAAAGGGCAGTTTATTAAAAACTGAAGTAAAAATTAAAATAACTTAAAAATAAAAAATCAGTCACAGTTTTGTCATTGGTATATGGAGGTTGTTCCAGGGACCCATCCAAAGCTCCTCGTCATCTGACTGCGTGTGGTCACTATGGAAGTCCAGAACCTCCTTGATGTTCTTACTGTCAACCATGGACTCCTGTTCAACTGTGCTTTTCAGCCTGTTCCCCAAAGGCTTCACTGTTGTACTGTCAGTCCCCACATGGTAAGGGGCAAATGTAACCAGAGTTGGTCTTGTGTTCATTTTCTCAGTAGAAAATGGCCCCTTTGATAATGTGTTCAAGGGGACATTCTCTTCATGTGTCACTGCCAACTTGTCTAGTTTCTTAAAGTGCCTCCCCAATTGAACAGGGGAAGTAACTTTTAAGTTATCGGTGAGGCAGGCACGGCGGGTTCTCACTACAGAGCCATTCTGTGCAATGTATATATTGCCATTGATATTACTGTGGATATTGGGATTGTGAAGACGGTTTCTCTGACATTCAGGAGCACTGTCTTCTCCAGCTGAGCTACTTTCATACTCTCGATCAACAACTAACTTTATCATTCTTTTTCTTGCCCACTGTCAAAAAATAAAAAAGCATGAATCATTATCAAAGGAATTAAAAGGGTAAAGATTACAATGCCTGCAAAATTCAAAACCTTTAACAGAAAGCTATCAAAAGTAACAACCCAAGAGGTAGAGGGAAGAACCTTTTTATTAACATCAGTTTCTCTTCCACAAATTCTTCATTGGTTTGAGAGCTTAATAACTTCTGAAAACAGTTGCTAGATTGGAAAGTAGACATTTCAGGAAGTACTTGTATTATTTTAGATCAAATTACTGCTATACTATAAAAAAAAATGTATACTGGTTATATTTAAGAATCTGATCCGTTCTTTGACAGTTGCTATACTTTTCAGGAAAGTTAAATTGAAAGGAAAACCCAGCATTATTAGTATATTCTGTTCATGCTAATACTTCCATTCCCAATATTTTAAAGATTTTTTAAACCCACAATATTGTAATTCTTAATTAATCCTCCATTATTAGCCAAACTTTTTGTATAATTTAATGCATTTATTCACTTGAAGTGTCCTGGTTTTCTGGATCATCCTTTTAAATATATGTTAACTTAAAAGAAAATATCTTCCCATCCTGCACAATTTATTTTGTAATACACAAAACAGAAAACTAATGATTGTAAATTTTCCTTTAGTAAGCAACTGGAACACAATGGAAATTTTCACAAATTTATTTTTCTTTTTACCAATCCACATTAGAAATGACAAGGTGCAGAGGTGAAAAACTCCTTGGTTATTCTTAAAATAGTACTGCCATTTTTGGGATATGTAAAGTACCAACATGTTGCACTAAGTAAGCCATGATTTTGGATTTCCAGATATATAGTTCAAAATTATTATGTTACCCAGAAAAAAAATTTATAACTGTTACAATTCAATTTTTTTCTAAATCTACTTTAATTCCTATCCACAACAGAAGGGAAATGGTAATAACTTTTATTTTTTTAAATTTATATCATTTAACTTCTAATATTTGAAACTGCCAGCTATAAAACTAATTGAACATGTTCATGATATTTTTGATAATATGTTTGCCATTTGAAATGTACATATATGCAAAAGTAGTCTTGTAGAGATCTTATTTGTTACATATTGTCCTAAGGATTTAAGATGATACAAAACCACTATATATATATATATATATATATATATATATATTCATATAGTCCATTCCAGTAGTCAGAGCATTACTGGCAATACATAATGCCACACTGTATTAACAGAAATCACACTATGAAATATTAAATACTGAGTAACTGATTGTCTTCTGAATTACTAATATAGGAAAGATCAGTCAGATTTACCCTAATATATTCTGATATATAAATCTGTTTGGATAGCATATATATTCACTTCTCTGGCATGCTTCTAAATCTTAAGAATTATGATCAATTTCCTCCCCTTCAAGTGTCATTTCAGAGAACACACAGAAGGCACTGCACACAAGAGCACTCATCACTGCAAAACTTTCACCTACTGTGATCTCTTTTAAAGTGCTGTGTTGTAACCTTCTGAGCTTGCTCCTGGAGGCTTCTTTTGGTTTGCCTGCTTGCTTGGGTCATACTCTGGCACCTGAAAGCCCCAGGGACCTCCAGACTGACTTTCACTACTACTGCTACTCATACCCGATTCTGACTCCTCCTCACTTTCCACACCTCCTTCCACTGAAGCTGATTCTGCACTGCCCTCCTCAGTGATGTCTTGAGATTCGAGGTCCATGGGCTCTTCCACAGGGGCCAGCTCACTTTCCTGTTCTTCTGCTGGGCGTTCCTCCTCTTCTTCCACGTTCCGTTCTTCTGGCTCTTCAGGTAGCTCCTCTTTTCTATCTTTGACTTTCTGGACCTCTTCAGCAATGGGCCTTCTTCTTGCAAGAAAAATGTTCTTCCTTGCCTTTTCTCCTTCTGACTCCGTGGATTCCGATTCTTCTGATTCAGGGGTAGAACTTTCTTCCTCCTCAGAGGGTGTCTCTGTCTCAGACTCTTCTGTCGTCTCAGACTCGCTGAACTCGGATTCCTCTTCACTGTATTCAGTATAGTCGCTTGAGGATTCCTCCTCTGACTCTACCGTGCTTTCTGTAGCTTCCTCTTGGTCCAGTGTTAGTTTCAAATAATCTTTATCTTCTGCCTCAAGGCGTCTCTGCCACTCTTCATCTTCAAGGTCAATGATGCCTCTTCTATCAGCTAGTCCTCTAACTTTCTTAAAAATCATGGGGAATATCCTGGCTCTCTTCCACGTCGTATATGTTGGCTCAGCTGCTGGTGGCTTTTCAATAGTGACAACTACTTCCTCCTCACTAGGCTCTCTAATTTCAACTTTTGGTTTAACTTTCTTTGCCTTTTCCTGAAAATCACGAAAATGCAATTGAAGTGTCAGCTGGGGAATGGTTATTATGTGACCATGTCTCACACAAGTTAAGCAAGAGTGAATCTGCAGGCTGACAGCTTCATGCAAGTTACAAAACTGGTTTCATAGAACAATCATACAATTCCCTACTGTTTATCCCCACTGCATATAGGCAGGAGGTGTTCAAGGAAATGTAAATTATTTTATTTTAGCTTATACCTTATAATACCAAAATTTAATACTTTCTCATTTTCTTATTCAAAATTTATTTTGCACCTTAGATCAAAGGAGAAAGAAAGAAATTAATCATTACCTCTTCCCTCTCCCATCCCTAGACTTTGATTAATAGTTTTATGTATTTGCTTTAACAAAATTTTAAGCAATCAGGAAATTATGATAGCTTATCTGAATAGCTAATGTAAAATCTATTTTTAAACTTTTGAACAGGGTAAAAGTACAGTGACATTAAAACTTTTTTCTTTAAAATTTCTGGATAAGTATTCCAAATAAATATTTCAGGCAAAGTATAAGAATTTGATATAGATGAAATTATGGTAATTTAAACTTAAATGATGTAATTCCATTAAGAATACTGGTGGTTTTATTTTTCTCTTATAATTAAAAGATATTGTACTTTTCATAATTTTTAGGTTTGCTAGACAATGTGGGAGCATTTTGCTTTGCAAAATACTTTTTAACATCTGATTTATAATATCTTTATGGAATAACATTTAGGATTTTATAAAATATAAATTTTATTGTGGCTTTATTCCAAGTGTTTAATGTTTTATAGAAATAAATAAACTTATATAAAAAATTTCTTTCTGTAGACAAGGCAATGGAAGGGTTAGCGTTATTAAATTGTTCTATGGAAATCAACTACTAAGTGAATAGTATTTCTGAAATTTTGAAATGTTTTGTAGCCTGCTATTCAAATAGGGCTAAAAAATATTATTCTTGAAATATTAATATTCCATTAAAAATTTACAGTAATTACCTCCTCCTCCTCATATTCCTCCTCAGCTTCGCCAACCACCTCACCATATTCCTCTTGTCCAGTTGGTGGTAACAAACGACGGCGACTTCCATATTGAGGCATTTCATACCTGTAACAGAAACTTACAACTTTAAGCAGTTTTTCATTTGATCTGTGTAACCACGACTGATCTCTGTTTTCTTCTTTTTCTTCATCATTCAATCAACAGATATTTATACAGCACCTGTTGGGCTCCTTGTAAACTAGTTACAAAATCATAGAGAAAGAACTACAACCTGATGACCAATGACTTTTGCCATAATGGTACCCTGGAATAACAAGAAAAAGAGTTATTTCAGATTTAAGTTTTAGGAGAGACTAAAGAGAAAGGAATATTTTCCCTTGACTAACTGAAGAGTTTAGGGCACCAAATTGGTTCTTTCTGAAAGTATGATAGCTTATTCAAAACATAAATTCTCTAAGTTTATAGTAAAAATTTGCTTCAAATGTGATCTGTAATGGTCTTTATTTTCCTCTACTGTATGTTTTTAGAAAGCAGTTAACTTATGTGTGTAGAACTGACTTTCGAAATGCTTATTACCGGATTCTAAAGTATGTTTTCTTCGTTTCTCTTGGGCAAATCTTGAGGGTGACTGGTTAGATAAAATGTTAAATATCTCATATGAAAGAAATGGTGAATTCAGGAATTGAGCAAATATGTTTGACTTCTATTTCTCATTTAAATAATTTGAATAATTTTATTGCATTTTTCAAGTCGTAGCCAATATCAATATAAACATCAAAACAGAATTCAATATAGAAACATGGTCAAACTTGATTGAAGCTAAAACTAGATACATAACTCATTTTCAAAAATGAAACTGATGAAATGACACTCATAAAAATGCTAGTAATAATAATCATTTAATAACACCTTATTATTCATAAAATATTAAGATACTGGATAAAAAATCTGAAGATGTACCCATGCTCATAACTGTAATAATCTTGTCCATATTCCTGGCCAGGATCAATTCCAGACTCCATGGATAACTCCTATTATTCAAAAAGAGAAATCGCATTTGAAAATAAATTCTTATCACATTTCAGCTCAATGTCAGATTTCCAGACCTGGTATTCGATGACTCAAAACACTGCTGTCAAAATAACTTTAATTACAAATGTTAAACATATTCAAATATATATATATATATATGGCTGTAACTCTTTTACACAAAATTAAGTTATGCTATTAGGACTGAGGAGGGGGAAAGTAAATTTTGTCTAATGATAAACCTGTTAAAGATAACAGATAAGTGTATCATTTGTTCTTAGATAATTTTTAAAACTATCAATAGACAGTTAATATTTCAATCTATTTAACACATTACTAATAGACTTTAGCCTTGAAGAAAATTATAACATTATCTTCAGCACTGTTTCATCATCCTGATAACAATTTTCTAGTATCTAGAGCTCTCCCATTCATCAAATGCTATTCTTATGAAAGGATCTGAGAATAATCATTTATACATTAATAAAAAATGTGCTAATATGCGATATAGCCCAAGGATATTTACATTTTAAAACATACTAATTCTGAATTTAATTTTTTTTTTAAGAAATTTTTCAGACAATAGGCCCTTTCAAGGTTTCCAGTTCTAAATTCCAGACAATATTGATTTTTGTCACTCTACACTTATGGAAAGATATTTTTCCTGAGACATACATATAGAACTAGCTTTAAATAACTATTAAATTCAATTTCACTGTATTTTCCTCTTTAACTCTATTTTAACGTTTAAATAAATTGAACTGCCAAGGTTTAACCAAATTAATTTGCAATGAAGAAAAGGGAAGAAGGAAAACGTATAGGTATACATAGCAAAACCAGTGGATACTTATTTCTAAGATCATCTACTATTTATAAGAACTATTTTGTTGATCCAGGTATAGTATTAGTTAGGAAAAAAAGTCCTCTGTGATAAATATATCATTTAAAAAGTGTGGAAATTCACAGCCTGCATGATGGAAATGGACAATAGACGTCACTTGTGCTTTGTTTGGCAAATATCATTTTAAAAAAGTGATTAGTTGCCCAAATGCTAATCAGAAAATGCTATTAAAGATCTGAGTTTTGATTTCTCTCAAAAAATAAAAAGATGGCAACACTGGGCTCATATTTTTACATGTCATGAATTTAGTTGGTGGTACTACTCCTTAAAGCAATCATATTTTCTCCTGGTTACTGCTGTATTCTCAACCAGACTATACATCTACACCCCCAGTCACAATAGGATGCCCCATCTGCTCTTTTTTTTTTTTTACATCGAATAAACTCTGTTCATTTACATCACTTCCTTATATTTTTATAAGTTTGCAATTCCTCTACTAAATGTACTCTCTGATGCATTTGCGGTTACAAATATTTTGTGAATTAACTGCAAAGGAATACACTACTACATCACATAGCAGAGATGAATCTCCCCAACAGAATGATGAGCAAAGGAAGTCAGGTACAAAATGAAACATGATTCTATATTATTCTATTTATATAAACTTCAAAAACAGACAAACCAATCTGGGTGTTAGAAGCCAGGTAAAAAGTTTTCAATTGGCAGTAATCACACTTTGGAAAAACCTCATTGGCTACAATATTGCTACTACTGAGCAATAAATGGCTATATTTAGAAGGAACTCATGCCATTTGTGATGACAACATGAAATGAACCTTTAGGGCATTATGCTAAGTGAGACAAGCCAGACAGAGAGATACAAATACTGTATGGTATTACTTATATGTGGAATCTGAAAATAAAAAACAAATTAAAAGCCAAACTCATAGAAACAGTAGAAAAGTGGTTGCTGAGTAGAGGAAATAGGGAGAGGTTAGTGAAAGTGTCCAAATTTTCAGCTATAAGATGAACAAGGTCTGAGCGTCTAATATAAAACATGGTGACTACAGTTGGTAACACTGTACTGTATGACTGAAATTTGCTAAAAGCGTACAACTTAAATATTCTCACCAAAAAAATAAAAATTAAAAAAAAAATGTGAGGAAGGATGTGTTAGTCTTTTCACAGTGTATACATATGTCAAATTACCACAATGGACACTTGAATTATCTTACAATTTAATTTGTCACTTATACCTTGATAAAGCTGAAATTAAATATATGTATTAAATATTTATCTTGTGAAAAAAGCTAGGTGAGTGGTTAGGGAAAGGAGAAATAATATCTGAGTGTTAACATGGAGGGGCTACTGGAGAACTAGTAGGGCATGAGCACGCTGTAAAAATTCATTTTGCTGCACTATATGATTTTATGTCTGCAGTTTTATTTCCAATAAAACTGTTTAGTATAGGAAAATTTATTGTAGGAAGCCAATTCAGACCAATAAGAAATTGGGACAAAGTTAAAGTCTAAATTTGACTTATTCAAATTTTAAAAATACACGTTTTTAAAACGTGTATTTAAAAAATACAAATTTAAAAAATTGTAAAAATACACGTTTTAAAAACATGTATTTAAAAAATACACGTCTCATATTGGTAGGCTTAGACTTCTGAGGCATCCAAAACCCAACGTAATTATACTGGTTTAAATGAAGCAAATAGGTCTCAGAAGTAATACTTAACTACTTGACCAATGCATGTTTTATCTAATACATAAGGAGACTGAGCAAAGACTGCCAAGTGATTTTGAAGTTGAAACCTAAATGTCCATGAATGGAAGAATGTATAAAGAAAATGTGGTACATAATGGAGTATTATTCAGCCTTCAAAAAAAAAAAAGAAGGAACTCTTGCTATATGCTACCACTTGGATGAACCTTGAGAACACTGTGCTAAGTGAAATAAGCCAGTCACAGAAGGGCAAATGCTGCATGATTTCACTTACATGTGGTATCTAAAATAGTCAATCTCAGAGAAGCAGAAAGTAAAATGATGGTTGCCAGGTGATGGGGAGAGGGGGAAATGTGCAGTTGCTATGTAACAGGTCTAAAGTTTGAATTAAGCAAGATGAAAATGTTTAGAGATTGCTGTGCAGCATTCTGCTTATAGCTAACAATACAGTATTGTGAACTTAAAAATCTAAGAAAGATCTCAAGTTATGTGTTCTTACAACAATTAAAAAAAAACCCAAAGGTTTTGAAGTTGAATTCTAAGAACTTTTAGCAATAATGAAAAATATTTATGGAACCATAATGCGACTGAATGGATTTCAGATTTTAAAAGAATCAATTTTCTTTACAGACACGTACTTTTTCTTTTTCTCTGAACAGTAAATGAAACTCAGCTCTTGCTAGCTACAATATTATATCTGGCATCAAATATGACTTTAAAAAATACAATAGAAGGACAGAGCAACTGGGAAAGAGCCCAGGAAACTCAATCATAGATGTAATCTGTCACTCTATAGTCTGTAGGGAGAGACAGGAGCTAGTAGAAGGGAATACTCTGAAGGGTTGGTCTTGGAGGAAGGACTTGGTGACCATTAAGCTCCTTAAGTCAGCCCTAAAAAAGAGTGTAATATTGGCCTTTTTTGCTGTTCCACACAGTACCTGTTGCCATCCACTTAGCAGGTAAATCCTAGAGTTTAGAAAATCATGCTAAGTAGCTTACTAAAAGGTGCTTTTATGGGCAGATCAAATGCTTAATGTTATTTTAAAAATTCATTTTTGCTGACCACACACACATAGAATTAACCTAGTTTCTTATTGACCAAAGTATAAAAATTTATACTGATGCAAACAAAACAAGAAAAATAACTACCATTTACTGAATTTCTTCCCACTATGTTCCAGTTGCTGAGCTAGGAGCTTACATATCAAATATTACTGCCAACATTCTATAAAAGATGAAATTGATGCTTAGGAGGATACATAGCTTGCCTAAGGCCTTGCATCCAGTAACTGGCATTTGGATTTTAACTCTGAGTTATCAGATTCAACAGTTTATGGAGAAGTCTCCATGGAAATTTTTGATAAAATGTATAAAAGTTGAATATTCCTGTCACTCAACCTCCCGATGATTTGGGGGAGTAAATTCTAACCACAAAATGCCTGTCTTTGGCAAAGTTAAGATTCTGTTGTTGAGAAATAGGAATAAAGAAATTATTTTTTAAAGT